TTACACAGGGCACTTGGCGCATACACAAGTATTGCTTTTCCTCGTGCCGTCACCGTTACCCGTTAAGCGGCGATCCCATCCTCGTTGCCAATTCTCTGTTGTATATCGGGAAAGAGACAAGGACTCCAGCACTTCAGTATTTCTACCTCGGTTTATTTCTACTCGCTATACAAAATACTACGCTCTGTGCTGTCGGACGGACGAGACGGAAGAGAGAGATTCACCGTGAAGCAACGACTATATATATAGGGTGCGGTCCAGTTCAAGCTTCAAACGCTCCAAATACTTTCGCTTTCTATGCTCCCATAAACCCGGTCCATTAGTGCTACCAATGTTATAAACGCTATGCAAGTGGACCATTCTGAAACGAAGTTTACGTCACGTATGTGCAAATGGACCGCAGCAGAATACGGAACGCAGCCTGAACGAGTTTATAGAGAGAGAGAGATCATGGATGCTCTGTTAATATATACCGTAAAAACTTTTTTAGATTATACTAATTATCTTTACGATGATGAAGAAGTGGACATTGTGGTGAGCACTGTTTTACTTCCAAAAGATCGTGTCCGTATTCCGAAAATTGGAGGTTATGTGGAACATGTAATTCCATCACTTAGCAGTGAATATTTTAAAATGCATTTTCGGTATGTATAATCATTGCTAATTTGTAATTTTTTTATAGTAATATATAAATATATATAATTATATGTATAATTCTGTGCAAATAAATGTGTGTGCACGCGTGTGTTGTGTGTGTTTGAGATTATGATTTAATTCTATTTTGATTGTAATGTAAATTGTTTAATAATCAGGATGAAGCCTTCAACATTTGAATACATTTTGAATGAAATTGGAGATAAACTTTGTCGTACATCAGATGGTAATGAAATGATACCTGCGGACAAACAATTTCTGTTAAGTCTATGGCGATTTGCAACTCCAGATTCATATAGGTAAGAGTATAATATTTATTATTGTTACGTATAAATACTATTACATTTTAATTACTGTAATTCTATAGATAAATATTTTTTGTAGATCAATAATTGAACGATTTGGTGTTGGCAAAGCTACAGGTGTAAGAGCAGTGCGTCGTGTTGCTAAGGCACTGTGTGAATTATCACCAAGATATATAACATGGCCTACAGAAAATAAAATACAAGATATTATATATAATTTTTCTCGTCCGAGTGGCTTTCCTAATGTTATTGGTGCCATAGATGGCAGTCACATAAATATTCCTGCACCCACAGAAAATCCAGAAGCCTACGTAAATCGTAAAGGACGTCATTCAATTCATCTCCAAGTAATTTTATAATATTTTTATATAATTATTTGCGTTTCTTTCTGTATCAATAATTTAATGCTTGCTAAGAATTAGTCACTTATTGATAATAAATAAAGTCTTTTGCATTTTTTGTAGGCTGTTTGTGATCACGCAAGACTATTCACACACATTTATGTCGGAAACGTAGGTTCGGTTCATGACGCTCGTGTGTTCCGTTTATCATCTCTCCAGGAATACATCAATGATCCCAACAAGTTCCCAAATGATACACATATAATTGGAGATGCGGCTTACACGTTACATCAACATCTTTTGGTCCCCTACGTTGATAACGGTCATCTTACACAGCGACAAAAAAATTACAATTTTTGTCATTCTTCTGCTAGAATGGTCATTGAAAGAGCGTTTGCTCTTTTGAAAGGACGCTGGAGGAGTCTTTTACACGTTTTAGCAGTAAATGACATAGAGTTTGTTCCTTATGACATATTGGCATGCTGCGTATTGCACAATATTTGTTTACTGCAGAAGGACGAACTAAAGTTAGAAGAAATATTTATTGTAGATAGAGAAGAAGTTATATTGCGAGAAGAAAGAATTAATGATAATAATAGATACATTGCAGAATTAAAGAGAAACAATATATGTGCAAATCTTCGTATGAGAAATGCGTAAGAAACATACATTTAAAAAAAATATAAGAAATGCTCAGATATATATGTATTTATAATGTATATGGAAATTATACCATTTTACAAATGTATTATAATATAAGTACACAAGTAAATAAATATATTATATATAATACGTACGAACAATTTTTTATTTCGATGACATAAATATTAAGTAGTCTATATTATTCAGTCTACATTAACAGTCTTTTTGTAGGAAGCAAATCTATATGACTAAAAATAAAAAAATTTATATTATTTGTAATTAAAAAAACAAAGACTTAAAAACATTTTAATAATTCTATTAAAATTATTTTTGGTGAATACAAAAATAATAGCTGCGATATTATTCATAAAAAAGTTATCATCTTTGGTATTGCAATAAAAAAAAAAAAATTAGGAACACATTTTTGCACTTATAAAAAAATAATCTTTGATGATATTAAAATGATAGAATCCTAAAAAATATATATAATATCACAGAACTCTTATACAAATAACAATGCATGTAATGTTTTCTCAACTATTTTTCGTTTCTATTAAAATTATTTTTGGTAGTAGATAAAAAAAATAAAAAACTGCGATATTATTTATAAAAAAGTTATTATCTTTGGTAGTGCATTAAAAGAAATAAACTTACGAACACATTTTTTGCACTTAGAAAAAGAAATCTGTGATGATATTAAAGTGATAAAGAGAATCATAAGAAATATTATATATAATATCACAGAACTCTTAAAAATAACAATTAATCCATATCCGTATTAATATTTTTAGCAACTAATTGTCGTAGAATACCCAACAGGTCATCTTGACGTGACATTGCTTCTGTATGCATTCTTTTACGCTCAATCATATTGTCCTCAAGTAACTTTTCTATGTTGACATTGTTTTTGCCTGTAATCATAATATATCTTGTGATGCAATAACATATAGTAACTGCATTTCGTTATTTCACCGCTATTAAACAGTGTTAAATAGTACTAAACGTTTATAGTATACATATAACGTGAACTATACAGTTTTAGTACTAGCTGTAACTAACAAAATGCATTTTTTATGGCTTCTAATTTCAAAGCTATTACAGACCATAATATATGTTATGTACTATGTTTATAAATATATAATATTACAGTAATTCAATATATAAATTAATGTAATTAATGGAAACGTACGCATATACATTAGTTGTAATAACACATACACATATAAAATGTACATAAGTAGAAGAAATACTTACGCTTAGAAGGCACTTTACTTTCGCATACAACTTTTTTTGTATCGCTGTTATTATCATTAGAAGTTGGAATAGTTGGATTATTGCTATCTAATGTACGAATTGGAGCTACCCATGGTTTTTTATTAAACTGTTCGTCCATAATCTACAATATTTAAGAAATATTAATTTAAAAAAAGGTAAAAATTGTATACAATAAATGTAATATAAACATTTTAGTAAAAAAAAAAAAAAAAGAAACTGTTTCATGTATAATTTATTCATTATATTTACGTCAAAATATCGCCATGTTCGTTTATTGTTTCCACTTTTTGCATTGTGATCCTTTACGCTCTTATATGTATTTTTTAATCCTGTCATTTTACTTTTGCATTGCGAGCCGGTAACATTATAATCTTTTTCACGTAACACAGAGGCAACCATGTCCCAAAACTTTTTCACAGACATTTTACCAGATGTAAGTTTAGTCTCACGTTCTTTAAAAACTTCAAGAAGCAGAAGAACTGCTTCGTGTGGCCAACGGAAACCATCTGAAAACAATATACCTTCAATATACATTTATCCGAAAGTAGTATTAAAATATACTAATATAAATTTATCTTTCTTTATATTTTACAATATAATAATATATACTTAGGTAAAGTTAAACGGCCTGACTGGCAAGTTTTATTAATAATATATATACCTTTCTCTTCAGAATTATCAGAGGATTCTTGCATTTTTTCTTCTCTGTCATGGCATGTGCTATTCGAAGAACATGCTGCAAATTCAATAAATAAAAGTATGTGTATGTGTGTAATAAATCATAATGTATTAAAATATTAAATATATTTCTACTATTAAAATAGTTAATGTAAAGTTTATAAATACTGTGTTTAATAACAGAATTTAATAGAGTGTAATACTTGGATTATTACTTGTTTCAGCAATCGACTGCGTTTGGTCCCGCAGTCTCTGTTTTAATAGTTGTGTCGCAAACACCAGATCTATTTAAGAAAAAGAGATGCAAGTATAAAAAAACTTTCATTTTTGAAATTATTATAAAAAAGAATATAGGCCCAGTTTCATTAATTAATTAACTTATCGGCCATGCACTTAAAAGAATTATCCAACAGCTGTTAATTATATTTTTAATAATCAACAATTATTGGATAATTCTCTTAAGTTAATCGCCAATTAGTTTAAATAGAGCCGATGAAATCGGCTTATAATAACAGATGTATAGGTTATGTAACTCTTACCATCGTTAGCTCTTTCGGCCTCTTCTTCATTTACTTCTAAAATATAAGTATTGTCCGTTTCAGGATCGTACAACTTAATTGTCTTCATTTTGTTGATGTTTAACACACAAAAATTGATCTTAATAAAATTGATCACACGAGATTACTTTTACTATTTACCGCGCTTTACACATTCAAACGTAACGCTTCAATCGTACTACCTCTCTGGGCTGAGGCATTGGGAGCGAGCTGGGAGCGAAAATCCGTGACGTATTCATGATGTCATACATATGGCTGGAGTGTTTTGAAGCGTCAACTGGACCGTACTCTGAACGCTCCAAAACATTTGTAGTATCAAGTGGACCGCACCCATAGATATACGCTAACGCTTGCGTTCTTGGGCCCTCTACTTCCCGTATAGGCGGAAACAAAAACAATATGGCGCAAACCTATGAGCTACATAACATTGGTCTATAGAATTAACTGTGATAATTGCTGTGTATCCTACATCGGACAAATAAAACGATACTTAAAAACGCGCGTTGCAGAACATTTTAATGATATAAAAAAAGACGATAGTAAGCATTCCGTTGTCAGCAAACATCGCGTTTCCCATGGTCATGATTTCAAATAGTCCGAGGTTGAGATATTGCATAGGAAAAAGAATACAAAAAAGAGAGAAATCGCGGAAATGTTTTTAATAAAAAAATATTCAGATACTATTAATCTAAAAAAAGACACGGATAACTTAAATCCCATATACGACAACGTCATCTCGAGCGTATAATTGTTTTGTTTTCTGTTGTTGGGTACTCTGACAACCTTGTTAATTTAAACATATACGAGACTGCCAGTTCATTCCTGACTCCCATTGTGTGAACATGAGTCGTGTGGCTCGAAAAACCGTGATATTTCGTTAACACTTAGACACTGTAATGCTAGTATGATACGCAATGCAAATTTGTGCCATTGTGGGACATTCTCTGTGTATATAAGTACTCTCTTTTTACTTTCTGGGTTTTGACATCATACTATTATTTATTAATTTTCTAGCTTTTCATGCGTGATGTTTCTGTCAAAATCTCATAATCATTAGACTGAGAATGTGTTAAAGATGGTACTCTTTTTCTCATCAGGTATTGTGAATTTTATTGTGCTCCTTAATATTTATGCATTGACTTAAAGGAATTTCTGTTTATACTTTTTAAATTTTAACTATTGACGATGTTAGTTGACCCCATGCTGTATTTCGTTTTGTTAGATCACTTGATAAGGACCCGCCCTTAAGAAAAAGTGCAGTCAAAATTGATAAAAAAAACTGAGCACTAACTGGTGGATAACTGATTATTGAAACTGATGACAGCACGATCAGTTTATTGAAACAAGTTACTGATAAAAGAAACAGTTGTACCAGTTACTGATTAAAAAACTGGGCACTAACT